GCCTTAGACTAGGACAGGTGCATTAGTGACTAGTGTAACACTGTAACAGTGTTAATGTACCATGATAAAAACTTAAAAACGATGATCGTTATATTTTGTAATTTTGTGTCGTGTTCGTGTAATTTACTAATTTGCATGATAAATTAATATTGAACCACGCGATTGATTTTAAAGTATTTTGTTAGTGAATTTTTATGTTATTGATCTAATATTTTTTTAAATGAACGTTTCTAAAGTAGAAATCAATTCGTCGTTGGTCGACAAATCGACTAATGTGGTTCATCCTGTGATATCAGATGTCGTTCAAAATGTTGATTTGGAATTGCAACAGCCCTTAAAAAAAAAAAAAATGGTAAGAGTTTTGTTTTAATTTTTTTTTAATTTCTATTTAATTCGCACTTATATTGAGTTAAAGTATTACAACTATTGTTTCAGTTAATTGAAAAAGGAGAAAAAGTTKTTATGGTTAATCTCTATAAATCCAAAATCCTAAAACAACCGAAAATTAAATATGATGTTTTAATGGAAACTCTATCAAAAGAAACCAATTATGAATTGGATTCAATTAAAAAGACTATAAATGAGTACAATATAACAGGTAAATATGAGTCACCGTCCAGAAAAAAAAATCGTATGACAATCAACAATACAATTGACGATTTARTTAAAAATGCGATTCTTCAAAAGATTCATGCATTTTGGGTTAGGCATCAAATTCCATCATTCCATAAAATTCTAAAGGCCATTAAGAATGATCCCGACCTTCCGAATATGTCTCAAACGTCTTTGAAGTGCACATTAAAGAAGTTGAATTTTGAATATTTTAATACAAAAAATCAGAAACTTGGATTAATTGAAAGAAAAGAGGTYGTGTTATGGCGACAAAAATACATTAGAGACTTACGTCGTTATCGTAGTGAAGGTCGAACCATTTATTATTTAGATGAAATGAGTGTGTATGTCGACGACTTTAATATTAACGACTGGATAGATGCTAAGACAAAATCTCAAACAAATTCATTTTCGTTGGAAAATCYAACTGCCAAAGAGAAATTTATTATAGTAGTCCATATAGCTTCTATTGAAGGCTTTGTCGAAGGTGGACTGTTCTGTTTTAAATCGAATAAGAATGAAATCAAAGACGAAACTTTTTACGAATGGTTTTGTGGGGTTTTGCCTAGATTAAATGACAATTGTATTATAGTAATGGACAACGCTTCGTACCATTTGTCCAAAAAGAACCTCATTCCCACAATGGATTGGAGAAAGAAAAATATAATTAAATGGTTGGTATCCAAAAACTGTGCAGTTGATAATCAGATGGTCAAGTGCCAATTAATGGAAATGGTAGATCAAGTCAGTCCTGTTTATGATAAATATTTAATAGATGAAGAAGCGTTAAAAACTAACAAAGTGGTTTTACGTTTTCCTCCTTATCACAATCAGCTGAATCCTTTTGACTTAGTGTGGCCGGTAGTAAAAAATCACATAGATGAAAACAAGRTGACTGGCAAGTTGACTGATGTACAGAAACTACTCAACGATGGTGTCCAGTGTGTAACACCCGACATGTGGGCCAGTTTCATCAGCTGTACAGTCGAGGAGGAAGATAAATTGTACAATCTCGAATTCATTATAGACGAAATATTAGATGAAGCATCGGACGTGACAAGAGATATTTCAGATATTTCTGATTAATATGACGTATGCATTGTTTTATAATTTAAGATTGGTAATTGTATACATTTTTGTTTATCATCATAATATACATATTTTAAATAAGAAYTATGTTTTATTTACGTACCCAATAATATATTATATAATCCAGTTTCGTATCTATGTATTTGTATATATATATATTTAAAATATGGTTTAACTAATGTTAGGCTGTTGGGCGTGACTGATAAGGAGAATCGGCATGCCCAAGAAAATAGCATATGTACAAAAAGGTGTCTTGCTCTGTATCAGAAAAATTCAATGAGGTTTGTTTGTAAAAAGATAAAAGCTTTTTACTTGTGTCACGTCAATGCATCTTAAAACAATTTAACGAATTATGGTTGGATAGAAATACTAAAATCGTTTAAATTAACGCCTATAAATTCATTAAAAACAAATAATGTGCGAAATAGATAAAGCATTTTTTATAGTGTGACTTGTGTCAACGTGTGYGTTTCTGATGGATCCGGACTCRGCAAATGAATACTGAATTGTCGAGAGTGTGGTGTCCGAAATCCACTTGAACCTAGATTTMGAAACGAATACATTTGTTTATTCATTTATTGAATAAAAAAATTACAAATACTTATAAGTAATAATTAATAATATAATAGATAAAATATATTTAAACAACAAATTATTTGAGAAAAATTTTTTTCCTTGCTTTATTGTTACCAAAATCATAWATTATTTTATTTATATCCAATTCATTTGTACGGTTACGCTCAATGTTCAAAATACTTATATTTGTAAGGCGAAATTGTAGCATGGAGTTTCTTAAGTAATTTTTAATTATTTTTAATTTGGAAAATGAACGTTCTGCATTTGCTACAGTGATCAGCAATGTTAGGAAAATAATACATGCACTGAAAATATCTTTGTAAATAGAGGCCACATCATTCTCCAATAGACACTGCAAAAGATTTTTTATGCTGTGGATTGTTTTAAGAAAATCTTTGTATACATTTATAATATATAAGATTTGCCTAGATATATCTGTACTGATGTCATTTTTATAAAATAGTTGAAAGTCATAAGTTGCTTTTACAATATCATGTTCACTAGARACTAGACTATAAAATATTTTGAGGAACCAGAAAATTAAATTTGTTAGTGACTTTGTATAAACCTGTAAACCTTTCTTTAAGTTGGACAATCACTGTATCTATGAGTGGTAAGAATACTGTAAYACGAAGATTTTCTTCATTTACATCAAGCCTCCTATCTCCATCTACGTCGCCAAAAAACCTTTTAAAATAAATACGACGATGAATAGTTGGTTGGATTGGTAGGTATGCGGGTAACGGGTATGCCCCATTTATTGCATTGGTCAGTTGCAGATAAAACCAATTCTTCATACTGATTTCTTAAATTTAAATACTAAAAGATAATGATAAGCAATCAAGTGAATGAAGGTATATTTACTTAATAACGAACAAAACAATATTTAATGAACAATTAACAAAACAATAAAAGAAACATAATATAACAATTGACATTTGATAAAAMAATATTAATTAAATAATAAAAATGAGACTTAATGCAAAGGAGCGGCGAGTTCAACGTTGTTCATCGTCGGCTCTGCACTAACTAACTCATAGACAAGTACATAATAGTAATAATAATGATAATGATAAGCGCACAGGATAATTACACATCAAAAGAACAACCTATATTTTTCAAAATTGAATGAATTACGTATCTGTTGAAACAAAAATACTTTTGTTTATGTTTAGATCCAACTATTCCAACTCAACAGAATATTATAATTTAAAACGTTTAGGCAGTCATGTGAGTCATGTACTCACAGAATAAAATTTYGGGGGTGAGGGGTTTACAAAATATAACAATACAAATTATACAGCAACATAATAAACCAATTTTTTCCTCCTTACTCATTATTTTGGTACTTGTTTTGTTAAATATCAAAATGTTATGTATGTAATTTGTTCARAAGTAAGAGTATGTATATATACTATATTATTATATTAGGAAAATAATTTTGGTTGGTGGGGGGTTAGACCTCCCCCCCCCTGTATAAGCTCCTTGCAATAGGTACCTTCCTTTTTTTTTTTTTGGGTGCTGAAATGCTGAATGATGTTCTATCATTATTGATTCAGCACTACATGGTGTAAACAAAAAAAGCATTAACAGAAGCGTCTAATGTTTGACTGCTAGTAGATTAATTTTTCTGAAGAATTTCATAAAAATACTTTTTTAATAAAATACTAATAAGTAAAAGGTAAGATAAATAAACAATATTTAAGTCAGGAATTAAATAAAATAAATTCAGTGAATTATATTATAGTATACAATTATATAATATAATAAAATGATATTATATATAATTATTATAATGGTATGATTGCACCTTTCCTTAACTGCTTCCTTTTATAAGATACTTGTAATTTGTAAACATTTTATTTTGACTAACATTCATTTGTTTTTAAGGTATAATTAAGTATATTAACAGATTTGCTTTAAAATGTTTTTAACAAATAAATAATGTATTTTTATATTAATATATTCATTGGGGTCTACCGTCATGCTATCTATGATCGCAGTCAAAGCCACAAAAGAAATTCTTGTGAATTTGTTTACCGATAGAGAGCGCTACCAGGTAGTCAAATTTACTTGCAATATAGTGGCTGCCTCTTACCTATTCAGTATACCCAATCAAACGTCGTCAGGCAACTATATACTATCGTTAATCGTGGTAGGTAACGCCGTAACGGCGATCGTGTTGTTTTACACTTCAGCGCATATTCATAGACCATATCGGATTGTGATAGTTATTAGTTAGACCTGATAAAATCAAAAACAGCAGAGGTAAGTATATAATTATTGTATTATAATATTTTTCCTACAATTCTTTAAAGAATTATGAGTATTACTAGTAAATTGTCTGGTTTAATCATATAGRCGATAGGCAGATATCAGAAGGGAGACCATGCCACCCAGACTGGGGCGTATTTAAGGGAGGGGTACATGGGGCCCATATGCCTCCCMCATTCGACGTATTTTATACTTAATTTTATTATAATATGAGAAATTTTACAACTCTACGCCCCATGTACGCAAATTTGAACTTTTTGTTTGTGCCCCCCTCCCCCCCTTAAGACATTTCTAAATACGCCCCTGCACCCAGATGAAAATATAACCTTTTTGATTGTACATGTAATCGAAGCCTCTAACTCACATTGTTGATAATAATGTGAGCTCCTAAAATTTTAATGGATTCTCGCCTATGCTGGAATGATTTCAACGTTTTCATTAAATTGATTTTTTTTCCATTGTATCACTAGATGGTAGCCTAACTGTTTTCAAATGTCTTAACCCCAATTCGCATGTCATAAGAGGTGCTCCAATTAAATTTGTTGCCTCCGTTGTACAAGTGCGTATCTACCTACCTAACATACCAAATTGTACGTTCAGCAGATCACATTTAGCTTTGTTAGTTTAAAAATTCGAGTAAATTGGCTTCTTATAAAATGTAAAGTTTAGATTACTATCTCAGGCATTTTATAAAATTTTTGTTATGTTTTAATATTTCAAAACRATTTATGATTATTTTAATATGTAGGTATAAATACAATTTACAATTTTAAAATACTCAATAACTTGGCAACTTGTAGTTGGTACTTAGTAACGTGTTACTAATATTTATAGTGTTTGTCATTATGGACCACAGTTATAACAGCATTACAGATAGGTATACTATTTCTACTGACTGTCACCGCACTTTGTGAAAACTGTSTAGTTAACCTGCTATCATAATAGCAAATAGGTACATCGATCAGAGAAAATATTTCACTTCTTTGCCGTGTGGTAGGTGWATAATAATTTGTCATTTCTGAAGACGGACTACATGATAAAACGGAATACTTTATAAATTAATGGGTAATATGAGAATGAATTAAGTTTTCACTATTYAGGTGAAAGGTGAACCACCGGSTRAAGCAGGAACTGCCGTCAGTTTCTTTTATATAATATTTTAATAATTAAATTATTATATAGTTGCCCCTTATATTATTCGCAAAGRTGAAACAGTAAACGCGCATCATAAGAACCAGCTAAATCGTATTATTAATTTATAATAGTACTATAGTATATTATATTATACGAAATCAATAATTTTAATATTCATTATTCTAACGCACTAAGACTTGATGAGTAAAAACAAGTTGTTATGTTCGATTTGATTTGATTACAAACGTCAGGTGCATGCGATCCAAAATATCTGTCAATAGACGAAAACACTTTTGGGGATACATATGAAAGAAGGAATGATAAAAAGTTCCAGCAAGTTATCAGAAATCCACTGTTTTGAGGTTTTGACCGGAACAAAAATAATTATTGTCATCAATCTTAATTGTTATARACACTAGACATATTATATTTTGCTATTAATACAATTTTGTTCTATTTAATATGTATTTTTTAATATTTAATTTGAATATATATATATATGTGTGTGTGTGTGTGTGTGTATTAAACTTTTTAAGTTGACAACATGTCAAATTTCAACACCAAATATTAGATAATATAGAAATTTTAGTTATTGTATTGAAATCAAAAAAAAAAAAAAACATTTATGTTTGTTGGCTTTCATTTTTTCAGACAATAGTTTTTGTGTTTAAATAGTTGATACGTTTATTGATTATGTTTAGGATCTGTTCAGATATCATTAATGCTTTATGGTATGGTGTTTTGATAGTCCTGCATCAATCATATTATTTATTTTTATTTACATTTTGTATTTTTGTATCGTATGCTGTAGTTCATAGTTGGTACCTACTCTATTTCTAATATCGATTTAACATAGGAAAACAAACATTTTGTTGCTAATACAGAAGAAGAATACCTATATTGATATCAAACCGTTATAATAACAGATTTTTATGAACTTCATCATATGTTTTATGTATTAAGTATTATAATATGATTATTACTAATTGTCTTTTTTCTAATTTKAGACACAACAAAGTAATTTTAAATTTTAAATTTATATTAATACAAATATAATATGATATTATATGCAACATCAATTATTCAAAAACATGCGTCTTATACATTACACAAATATATAATAGGGTAGYCGACTGTGTGATCGTTACCCTTATCCTATAAATTCAATACACGAATTTACCATCATTAACCTATACCATTTTGTGCAATTAATATTAGTTTTATCATTGATTATAAATACTAATTTATAATCGATGGTTTTATTTAACAAAATACTTATATATTTTTTTGAAGTAAATACACATAATTTTAAGTATAATACGTTTATTTTTTGTATAATATATTTATTTGAACAAAACAATTATCATTAGAATGTATACTATCGTACTTAAGTACAATAGGTACATATTATAATTAATGTATCATAACTACAATAAAATCAGGWTTCAACTTAAACCAGCGTACCTATATGCCGTTTGTGAGATCAAACGATTCAAACGTAGGATGATAAAACCAGTCATTTTAAAAATATATAAGTAGGATACAGTGAGGTTTATGTATTTTTTTTGCTAAATACTAAATATTGATATAATTTATACTTGACATTTGTGTAACCACAGTGTGGGAAGTTTTAATATTTTTACAATGATTCAATCTAGGCACTTCATAGTTACTTCATGGTTAATAAAATAGAAATATGATCAGCTTGTACGTGAATTAAATAATTTTACTGTTTGTAATACGATGTTACTAATATCATGTTTTGCAAACATGCAATATCTATATATATTTAATGTTTATTTTAACACTGATAATATTTCGTAAAAAAATAAAAAAATAATAAGAAATAGTGATAAAGTTAAGAAAATTTACTTAGTAACAAATGGTTGGTATATTATTAATGTGACTTTCAGTTTGAGCCATAGACAGAACAAAAAAGTGTAACGTACCAGTCTACCAGTGTTGTAATTTACATGATAATGACTGGTTGGATTTAGCCGGATGGGAGTGTTGTTCTTTTGTGTTCTGAGAAACGTTTACACGAGTAGTTTAAACAATAATTTTAAAATATTATATCATAGTTATGACAATTCACGGGACTTCGTAATAACGTTACACGAGAATAAAATATGCTATGAAAATGTAATAATCATTTTCGTCTATTTAAATATTAACTAATAAAATATAATAATATTAATGTAAAAATTATATAATTTATGACACAGCCAAACGAAAAACGTCATATTCGTAGGTATATTATTATTCAAACGTGCAAGTACGTAAGTACGATTGGAATCAGTGCGGTGACCAAAACGGCGCAACGAACACCCGACGCTTGACTTCGGTCGTGACACACCTCGTCATTGCAGCCATTTGGTGTCAGATAGTCTTTGAATTTGTTCTCGACGAATTTCCAAGAGCATAAACCGACGTTGCAACCCGGGTAATCGTACACGCCCTCGTTCAAGTAGAACATTACTTTGTTCTCTTCGTCACCTTGATCACACCTGCAATGACACATAATAATATTAGCAGCATATAGTATACTAATTAATAATTAACGGCTTAACGGTTAAACAATACACAGTGATTACACTACATTCAAACAATATTGTGATCATAACGACGACATACAAGTATACAATATGATATCGTTATGATATATTATTGAAGGGCCTATTTTCATGGGTATACAATTTRTTTTGKATAGGTTATTAATTAATTGTATAACCAATAATATGGTAGGTAGGTTAGTATACTTGCATTGTACCGGCATAAAACGTATGACGCGTACCTGCAGGCCAGAAAATTTCTACTAGTGGGGGAAAATAATTGCTGGCTTTTTTATCATTATTTTATTTTGAATTTGGGGGGGGGGTAGCCTTGGGCCAGGATAAATTTAAAGTGAACCCGGCCTACCCTGTCCCCATGATTACGTGCGTATATATTATAGATGGATATGTGTACGGTGTATTCCCAGTTCGACGACACCAAGTTTTCCTACCTACAATTTGAAGAATTATAGTTCAGTTACAAAAATATATAAATAATAAAATGTAAATTAAAAACATAAAATGGTAATATTACGTATTCACGCAGTGAAGTACAACTACAAACTAAAATCATATTATATATTATATTTATAATATATTGATTATGGATGTCAATTATCTTGTGATAGGTACCTATAATACTATCTTATATTCACCATTAAATAAGTTTACAGATATCATAACGTTGTCGATATATTATATATCATAGCCGATAGGTACCTTATACTCGCGATGAAATAAATTTACAGATTATGATAGTACCGATTATAGTTTTATTGCAATGCCAATATAATTTGTCGGTGAATTGGGCTTTTTTTTAAAAACCATTACAAACTGGTTTTTTTTATCAAAAAACCKGGTGTCGGTGAACTGGGCATAAACCATCTGTACATAGGTAAGTGATTTTCGTAGCCAATGCATTATACCAACTACCGTGAGCATTAATAATTATGTATTAGCTAAGTACTAAAACAATATATTTACCAAATCGAAGCACTTGCGCTTATTTATATGCCCAAACTATAAACATATAACGTATAATATTTAACTGAATTTATTATAGAAAGACATCTTCATATTATGGAAATATTAGATTTACAATTTACCTATTCTTTAATAACATTTAAATTAAAAATATAATAGTTGTACGCAATAAAAATAAAGCTTTTAATACTTTTATATATAATATTTATGCAATGTCTTGGCTAAACGTTCAAAATTATAATAATATGTAAATAATGACATTTTTACTTTAAAATATTTTCAAATTAGATTTAAACTCATTTCATATTTATACTTGTGAAAAGCATCTAAATAAATTTTTTCAAAACAAATTTTATATAATATTATGCTTACTTGTAAAATACAGCGGCAAAATTACTGGAAAATGGGTCTACTTGTGACATTCTCCATTGACGACGATACTGAGCATGGTAATTGGAATGGGTCAAAGGAATCGTATCTTTTGCTACGCCCAAAGCCAATAATGTAGTCAACAACCCGGCTGAAGAACCAAACCTAAATACTGCCGAAGGTCTTACGGAATCGTTTTTTGCTACAGCACTAAAAAAAAGAAATCCCAATAATATTAATTAAATTTGATACATTGGTTATATATATAGTTATTAATGACAGATTATAGATAGGTAATTTTGTGATCTTACTTCAAATATCCCATTAGCTCTCTGGCGATCGGACATCCCACCTTTGTGTTTATTTCAGAACCGTAACCGTATTTATAGTAATAGTCCAAATCTTCGTAATATTCTAAAAGCTAAGTACGAAAGTTAGACACGTTAAAAGCTATAATCGAACTCGTATCGGTTWCTTATCATCTATCGCACACACCTGTAACTCTTGTCTAGTGAACAGGCCACACCATGCTGGGTAAGATTCGATCACGAGCGCTTTATTGTATCGGCACGATTCGTACATCGCGTGAATTATACCTGAAATTATAATGTATAAAAATAAAACGTTCTGGACTTGTGAAAATAAACACTACAGTTAATATTGTATTTTTATACTTACTGTCAGTTATGTTTTCTAGAAAACCCAGTCTTTTACTCATTTGGCTCACCATTTCCAAATATTCCGGTGATTTACGAAACAGCGAAGCTTCAGAAYTGTGAACTGCATCAGTCCACTTAGGACAAGACTCTGACTGGAGATTAGGAAAAAATTCATAATTAAATCACGAGTRAAACGTTATTAATATAATATAATATTAAAAATATATATATTTTTTAATACCCCGATAAAACTAGAATTTTTTTGGATTTTTTCGATAGGAACTTTAAACCTGAAATCGTCYCCAAACATAGTTTTAGAAAATTCCTCGGCACTATTCATAACTTTTCGGTCTTCATTGGCATAAATCTAACGTATAAAAACAATTGCACATTAACTAAACTATTTATTTAATGTGTTAAACACCTACAATTTTTATTACAATGATTTAAATATATGATTATTTTTATATAATAACTTAAAATATTATTCACTTTGAACGTATTTTGGTTGATCTCTTTTACTAAAACTTCACTCATTTTGTCTTTCATCCTTTTTGCGAGTAGCTGCATGTCCATCCTACCCTGGGGTGAAATATCATCTTCTGAAGTTGGATTCACTTCAAATTCCCAACGTTTTAGACTGTCTAATACGTGTTTACACAAATGTCCATCTGCGGAGTTCAAATAAAATCGTATTAATGTTATTTAACTTAGTGTTGAATACTTTGAATCGTACTTCTACGTTCTTCGTGATTTTTTATCACCCTTTCTTTGAATTGATGCAACTGACGAATTGCGATGGATTCGTTAGTATTTGGATAACTGGTACCAGGCCTGATAAACATCCATACAAATGTCGGGCGACAATCTAAATTGAAAATACAATTAACTACGGGCAGTGACGTAACTAAGGGGATATGGTTTTTAACCCCCATTTCCCATTGCATTTTTTCCTTATAAATGTATGATTATTTATTTATATATGTATACAAATTAATTTAATTCATACTACTCCTTCCCCCGCCCCATATTTCATCCTGGCTACGCCACTGACTATGTCTTTATTRGACTCATAAAATAATTATTTAATTATAATTGTAATATTATATCATATTAAATAGAGTATAGGTACATGAAATATCAAAAGTATAAGTCAAATTATATTATAATTTAATACCCATACTATAATTATGTTAACTGTATGATTATTCAATGTACAATGCAAACTTACAAGGCACCGGTTTGAATTTTGAATTAAATATCAGTTGATAGGCCGTCTTGTGCGAAAAATAAAGGTATGGATCCTGGTCGGTTGGTTCGTAGCACGATTCGCCGCCAGACAAATCAGCAAACAAGAACGCGAGCAACAGCAATACTCTTGATGATTGACCCTTCATTGTACACGGGTCGGTGAACTATATAAATTATTTTTAATTCTTTAAATTGAAATTCTAGACAAGTCATATAGTTTTATGTCTTGTAGACAATGYCATCGCAGATGATCCCGATATGTAACTTTACTCACATATATGATATAATTATATAAATATGTAATACGCATAATACATTGTGTAGAGTTGCAGACAAAGACATTGCAATTAATACACGCTCATAGAAAGTAAATACTTTGTTAAGTCAGTGATTACGATACAATCATTTTTGTATGTAGGTGTGCGGATTAGTATTTATTAATATGATATTTTATTACAAACGACAGGTATAAGACGATTTTATCGGTGTCGGAAGTCGGGACAGTATAATGAAACTGAAAAAAGAAACAATTGAACATAGTGTCGCAGGTAAAACTATGTTTATTCATTTATACCTCGAATATACTATAAAAAAAGTTATGTGGCCATGCGTGGGTAATACAAATACATGTTACAGCTGGTCACACGCGTCTAATATAATTATTGTCGTAGTGGTCGCCTTGTCACTTACACGTCAAAACTAATTGGCAAACGTACGTTTATCAATGACAATCAAATCAAAATTTAAAATTATTTTCGGTAGTTATATAATGGGTATACATAGAGAAAGGTCATAGGAAGTGTTCCGTATCTGCTGACTGTTGTTTTGTCCATCAATTTCGTATCTGACGTATTAACATGAACGATTGTTATTTCTAATACCTTATACTCAATATTTTTTTGGTCCGTTTTTCTTTAAAAACTTAAATAACTTATGATGAATTTTCATTTAAACAAATAAATATTATCAACTTTCAGATTTATTTTCAATATAGGTAATATAATTTTTGGATCACCGTTTTTTTTTTAAAAAGATCTTAACGTTTGTTAAATGCCAAGACGAATTGGACGGGTTNGTACTTATAAGTTATAATACCTTGAATAATATTATATTAAATAATTAATAAAGCATAAAAGTAAACATAGTAACTACTAGAGCCTGGAATACTGCAAGTTCTAATTTCTAAACTATATTTAGACACCTTCTAACTGATTGATGACATATTTATCGTTGGTATTTTTTTCAGGTGTTTATAAAATGCAATTGTTTTAAATATTTAAAATCAAAAATTAAAACTCAATTGGGGAGGCGAGTGTAATTTATTATAAAATTGTATTCACGTTATTCATTTAGTTTTACATTTATCACGTGCTTAATAATGTACCTACATACAAATATATAATAATTTATAAAACTCAGTTATCAAATTCATCTTAGGTATTTAAGCGACCGTTATGGTTAAATAAATAGTGATTCTCAAACTATATTATTTTCAATATAGGTAATATAATTTTTGGATCACCGTTTTTTTTTTAAAAAGATCTTAACGTTTGTTAAATGCCAAGACGAATTGGACGGGTTATAATGAAAAATTCCATAGTAGGTAGGAAATTATAGRAATAAATGAATGTTTTTTCTACACAAGCTTTCTTTAGTTACACACTACCGTATAATGTGTATTACTATTACACCTAAAGTAAACTAATGAAACTCTAATTTAACCTAAATGTGGATGGCAATAATAGCTGAATAAATGTTTGTGGTCATATGATGTAGTATGTACCTACTGCTTGAAAKAATAACAGCACTCATAATCGTTGTTGGTAGTTACTAGTTTGATATGTTTAGTTCCCAATGAAAACTAACAATAATACATTCTCAGTGTCATTTCAACATATCTTGAGAAATATAATATTACAAAAACAATCATACCATGTAGGTAGGTAATTATATTGTATTCATATCCATTATGCATATACATGATAATATAATACATTTTAAACATCTAAGTTTCATTTTTATTTTTAGGTACAAACTTATAAACATATTTTGTGCTTTAGTGACGCATTAAAAAATTTAAATGTTTACAAAATTATGTCATTTAGTCATACCGTTTATACACGAGTAAACATCAATTTCATGGCTATTCATGCGGTAGCGGGTTAGTAATTTACCAATAACGCGTAGTATAAATAGTTATAACTTATAATAAAATATTATATTAGTAATAATTATTCATTAGGTGGTTATAATAAAGTATGCGCTTGGTGTGTAATTCGGTCACGTAAGTAGTTACATACTGCAGTGCGGAAAAATATACAACAGCCAACTCAAACAATATCTTAATACTAATTAGTAATTTTTACCTTGCAATAATGTTGATAGTTATCCTCAAAAATATAGCGTTTTATATGAATATTGTCACGATGGAATAATAATACGACACAACTTGAGCTTAGTATACATCACCGTCCATGGCGAGATGACTGATGAATGCTTTCAAAACGAGACTGGTTCTGTGCAGTGTGCAGAGGTACCGTACATCTTCGCTTGTGGTCAGAGACCCCCACCCAACGGCTAGACACGAGTTCACTGCACTATGCGCTATAGCAGCTGGTTCTGCAGTATGTGTTATTATAACGTGCGTATAGGTATCGGTATAGGTAAAGGTACAACAGGTCTACTTAGAATATTATGTTTACAAGCAATATGCATTTATTTCTATTTTGAAACGGTGAAAATTAAAAAAAACATCTAGACAAGAGCATAATAATAGTAATAATTATARTAATAACAGTATAACACAACCGAATGACGGTGAGTTGTGCTACAGTAAATGGCATCGACTACGCAGCGAAGGCATCGACTTGAATTCTTGTTTCTACGTCATATTATTATACCCATCGTAGTCTAGTAGGCTTTATAATAATTTATAGAATATTTAAATTAGTTTTCATTTGCTGTAGAAGACTAGGTATATGTTATTTAAATCAATGCAATCCAAAGCTAGTTTATCAATCTAAAAATCTCAAACAAAAAATATATGTCCTTACTTAAAATAAAACGTTAAAATGATTTAGTATTCATATACTCTTACTATAATATTCACTTTAAAAAAGAAAGAATGTTTTTTTCCGTAACACTGCATTTTCTTGTAGCTATATATAAAATGTTCATATTTTATTAAAATTTGTTTTTAAGCAAAACACATATTATTCTGATACCTACTCAAGAATATGCGAATTAGTGCTTTGGGAAATTTCAAATTGCATCGCAAAGTATTAAATAAGTATAATAATATCGATTGGTTAAAACATTAATCTGTAAATAATTTAATTTAAAAACATAAACTACCACTATTTACTTGTGTAAAAAATAATTATGTTAATGTTGAGTTGTAGTTATACACTTGTATATGTCAATAATAAACCAATGTTTATAAAATCAACTTTTAAGTAAATCAATATACTTGATGCTTCAATTTTCTTKTTTTTAGTTTCGGAAAATATATTTAACCTACCTACTTTTTGTTGTCACGTAATTGAATTAAAATAATAAATGAACCATGTTAAATAATTTAAAATGCATTAGTCGCTTTAAAAAATAAATAAAAATGTTTACGTGTATTGTAATAGTGTCCTAATGTTTATACCATATATCTTCTTTACTCAATAGMGCACATTATCAATTCTGTATTTTTATATCAATTGAACCTACTGCTGTTATATTTTTCTCATCAAAAATAATACTTAAGTAATAATACAGGGTGATTTTTTTATTGAAGAACACTCATTATTTAAAAAAGTATTGACTTTTTTCAAAATATTTTTTACATAGTTTCAAGTTGTTAAAAAACAAACTTTTAAAAAATTATATTTTTAAATATTTTTTATCCTTATCATTTTTTAAGTTTTTTACTTTTTTGAATGACAACATAGAGTTTTAATTTCATATTCCAAAGCAGAATATTTTTTCTAARTATTTTGATTCATAAAAATTGAATTTAGGACGAGTAGTTTTATGAGTTATAACTGTTATAAGTATTTAAAGTTTAGACAAGCGGAGTAGTGCACAAAGATTTTGCGGGGTGACCCTGTACCACTCCACTCTGCCAATCTAAACTTTAAATAATTATAACTCATAAACTACTCGTCCTAAATTCGATTTTTATGAATCAAAATACTTAGAAAAATATTCTGCTTTGGAATATGAAATTAAAACTCTATGTCGTTATTCAAAAAAGTAAAAAAACTCAAAAAATGATAAGGATAAAAATATTTAAAAATATAATTTTTTAATAAAAAGTTTGTTTTTTAACAACTTGAAACTATGTAAAAAATATTTTGAAAAAAGTCAATACTTTTTAAAATAATGAGTATTCTTCAATAAAAAAATCACCCTGTATATATTATTAATTAGGCTTAGGATTCATACATGATTTATTTTGTTATCATAGGTAATTAGTATTTGACATTTTTATTTCGTCCATGGTAAATGCGTTTTAAGTGATTATATTTTTATTTTAACATTAAACTTTGCATTAAAAAATAATAATAATTAGAATTAGAATTTTCTTAGTATTTCAATTTTAATAAATATTTTGACGTTCATTGATCACGGTTAACTTATTTGATTAGTTGCGCTTGAAATGTATGGTTACTAATAAAAACAATCGTTATTTTAATCTATTTCAGTCTAACTTCATAAGAAAAAAAGAAATTGGCTCCAACATTTACAAACCAAACTTYTTAAATTTAAAAAACAGCTTTCCACCACATCGCGAAATTTATGTAGATGCATCCAAAAACATGGAAGAAACTCCAATCGCATTAATTCACCCAAACTCTCAAACAGTACTTCAAATCCCAGCTTACAACTCTATTTACACAGCAGAATATCTAGCTCTTTTAAAAGCTACAGACTTAGCCGTCACCTCAGATAATCAATGTACAATCATATACACTGACTCTCTCAGTGCTCTCAAAAACTTGGTAAATCCCAAAAAATACAACCCTATTTGCACCTAATTATGAACATTCTATTCATAACCAAAAAAGACATCAGATACATAGGGTACCTGGACACAACAGTGTACCAAGTAATTAAATCGCAGACGAAATAGCCAAAAKWGCAATCAAAGAACAAATCGAACTCTGTAATATTACAATGCATTTCGACACAAAACATCGAATAAACGCTAACCTCAATCAAACATGTCTTCGAGAAAGGAGATCAATACAAAATAACAAATTAAGAAAGATTAAATCTTCCACAAATTTTTGCATAGAATAAAATATTGAAAGTTTTTAAATTATCGATTGTTGGCTTGCTGTATAATTTTATTAGACTGATATTATTCTAAAAAAATATTATTTATTATGAATATTATTAATGAATAGATTCATAATGAATGATACAATTTATGTGTATCTTTTTACAGAGAAGATTGATCGCCACATTCACACAAAAAATCTTGTGCCGGATGAACTATGTACCTAATCGATGCATATAATAGTTAAAATAGATTGTGATGAGATATAAAAATTGATATTATCTGTATTAAAAACTACTATGAGAACCTATTTATCGAATTTTTCGATTATAGAAAATAAAACTACACTTCCAATTAATTATTTACATGTTCAACCTTATTTTTGCACGCGATACCTAAGAAATTTGTGTATACATATTAAAGTAGTATATTAGATGCCTATTAAATTCATTGTAATTTCGTTATTTTGTATACAGTTTAGTTGTACAATGGCTCTCAAATGGGTGTATTTGTTTATTTCATTTTCAACAGTAGTGTATACAGACGTGGCAAAACTGTCGTGTGATGACGAATCTTTGAAAAAAAAAAACCGAAAATTGTCTAAAGAAGACATTAATGATTTAATATCCATTGACAATCAGTCACAGATTAAAATGTGTTTGGTTGTACTCGGAAAAGATCCATTGGAAACGGAAATCGCTGAACTGTTGTGGAGAGATTTAGTGAAAGTGAGACAGACACATGATAATAAACCTATTTTGCGTGTTGTCATTTAAATTATCAATCGTTGAATCCAAAGCAACAATCATTATTAATATATTTTTGTTTAGGTTTATACAACAGCAGACGATATTCCTGAGGACGAGCTACGGTTGTTAGGATGGATATCGAAAGGAATACCGGCTCCAGATTTTATGAATTTGTCTTTAACGGATATCGAAACAATAGCATCATTTGGAAAATGGAGAAACTATTCTAAAGAACAGGTTTATTCCATTTTTAATTATAAATACATTTACACATTACTAAGTATTCAATAATGAAGTGGTGATTAATAACATTCGTTAAAATGAAGAAAGTCATAGATATTTTTAATATGTACAACTTTTATATAGGTACATTTTGTTTTCCTACATTTTTGTATTTAAATTTATGGACGAATTTTTAACTTAAACAGCACTATACTTAAAAAAAAAACCTATATCCTTGAGAATACATCTTTATTGCTTAAGTAAGTCTATTATCTACTATGATTTTAGTATGTTTTTTCAAAGTTTTTTTTTTCAATTGATGTAATTTCGTTCAATTATGTTTAATAATAGAATTATAGAACAACAACAATAGGTAACAAGATAAAATTTACGAAATACTAATAAGTTGTTACTATAACTCACCCAAAAAGACAGAAGGTCATACTTCTAAAGAATCACTTATGTAAAATGTTAGTTATTCATATTTCTCCGGGTAATATCACAAAAATTATACATTTATCTGTTATCTTTACTTGGCAATAATATACTACTAGTATAGTATAATACTAGTAAAGTACAACATATATATATTAGGTATATAGTAATAAATAAAAGTAATTTAGTAGAGTAAACATTTAATATTTAAATATAAATTTATAATACGTTACGATCTAATGATTCGATAAACTGTTAAAATGTCAGGATACTTCTACCAATTTGATACGACTAGATTATGAAATTTGTATTTTTTGTTAGCAACTATACCTGTACTATTTATAAACTTAAAATAATTCTACAGCTGATTTAGGTAATGTCTAGTCAGTTTTTAATCTAATATTAATTGATACGTAGCTWCTCGTCAGCTAAGTGTTCCTCATCATCATATRTATACGCATCATACTATAATTATTACATTATTCGTCAGGTTTTTTTAATTKGTGTGTATGGATGGGCGACCCACCAACATTTATATTTKAATTTGCCGAACTCTATATTATAACCAATACACTTTAACTAGAGTAATAKACCKACTTACGTCACGATGATTCAGCTATAAACCATAAATTATAATAAGTTATAAATTAACTATTAAAATTTATGATAGTTAATATTTTGGTAAATAAAAAWTTTTAGGAAATCCTTGCATGTATTGGAAAATACTTGATTTAAAGAACAATATTAAATATTGTATTGGAAGTTTGTAGTTGAAKTTAATTTAACTTAAAATACAAATATCGTTTAATTTAATGCATTTATAATATTTTAAAACAAAAATATATAAATTTATCTACATTTATAATTTTATTCTCAATTGATTTGTGTAATTTTACCAAGGTCATGTCTTTAAAACAAGCGATTGAAGACCAATGGAGTTACAAAAGCCCTTCCGATTTTAGCAGCTACGATTTGGCGGCTTTAGGTCATGTTTTGTGCGTGTTCAATAAATCACATATAGCTGCGATCAAACCGATCGCATACAAGTAATAATAATTTTTTTTTTAAATATTGATATTAAAAAAATATAATAGGTAGTAAGTAGGTTAAGGTAACCTATATTGCTGAATGGTAGTGGAATACAAAAATAATTCGTTTTATAATTATTGMTATTCGACAAAAATAACACGAAGGGCAGCGGCGGCTGATTTATCAAATCTCGTTAATTGTCCGCATGAGATCATAAGAGAATTTGCCTCACTCGCTACCAGTAGAGACGCGTTCGGTGACCCTTCGGGATGGACTGCTATACAGGTAGATATGATGATGGTTATAAAYAACACTTAAAAATAAAAGCATATTTCTTCGCCATGTTGTCTTTTTATTTTTTTTATTAGATAGCGTTAATCGGATGTGTAATCGCCGGTTTGGATTCTRTACGCGATATTCAGCCAGACGCATTCGAAGGATTGGCCGCGTCTAGTGTGCAATGTTTACCGAATAACTTATTACAGGTAAGTATTATACTCATGAAAACTCTAAACTCAGAATAGCGTTTAATAGTGGCTTGCAATCCTATGCAGTGGCGTATTTTCTATTTTCAATAATTTCTTGGGGGGGGTAAATTAAAAAAAAATCATATGATTAAGCTTATTTGTAGCATCTTACTTTGAAACGCAGCGATACTCTACAACAAAAATAACGCAACTGTCTATAGTATAGATATGTGTATAAACTCTATACACATATCGTTAATATTATCAGAACGAATAAAGTATTGATTTAACATTAAATAACTTTTTTTTTTTCTCAGAGCCCCCCCCCTCCCATAAATACGCCACTGAACCTATTTATCAAAAATATGTAAATCATTCAAACCTGTCCATCACAGGCGATGTCAATTGAACAGCTATCGCATTTATCGTTGTCTGCTGTCAATGCTCTTACGCATGCACAGCGTTCGTCATTAGATCGCGAACAGATCACAGCCATCCAAGAAACGGCCAAGACATTGGGCTCGGTACTAATAAACGACGGATGCTGTTTCGCGAGCCGTACTACTTGGTCGACAGTCACACTAATCACGTATTTGCAGTTATCGACATTAATAATGTCATCAAAATATAATATTAACAATATAATATTTTAGATTATTATAATTATATATATATATATTACGCATGTTATTTACGTTTAGTTTGTATTATATGATTTTTATCTATATAATATATAGTATTATGATATTATATAATTGCTTACGACTTATATTTTTAAGTTTATGTCTGTTARAACATTACATAGTTTCGTGCGTATTGAAAAAAAAATTAATACAACTTAAATCGCTATTGTTAACACATCGAATGAGGAATCGTCTTTAAAACGATATTAAACAGAAATATACAATTAAAACATAGGTACTGCAATAATGCAAATATAGGTATGTAAAAGAAAAGATAGACAAATTATTACATAAATATTAAATACATAATCTTATCATAGGATTAATTAGGTGACTTTTCTATACAAGTCGTTTATTGTATTCCCGTWCGCAATACAGGGTGAAACGGAAGGCGGAAAGTCTGTGTTGCAAACTGGTAAGATAGGTAGCTACTTCTTTAAAGACTTACCTAGTTACCTACGGATGTGGGTAATTACCTAAATCTAAATATATACACTAATAGTTATCAAGCTCCATCCAAACAGTTTGTATCACATTTTCGTTCTCGCCGTTTCGTTCTACATTAAATTCAATAAAATGATAAAAAATWAAAAATTAAAAAGACTAGTTTCACTTTGACACGTCAAAACACTCGAAATGGAATGTTGGAATGGATTCGGTATTACAACACATAATAATATAACATGTATAATAATGATAATGATATTATAAAGTATATAGGATCCAATAACGCATACCAACTGCACAAATATAATAAATTATTATTAAAGCCTGTCTACAACGAATCTAGCAACGAATCGAGTAAGTCCATTTGCGAATCGTCCCACGTCAAGTTCGTGAGCATGGTTAGATCGTCGTCCGTGGCGATTTGTGACTGATGATGGTCGTTGGGTATGTCGATTATCGTGTAATCGACTACAGAAGACATGAACGGATCCACGGTGGCTGCGTTTATCGAACAGCTGTAGATCAACTCGGGTTCACCCATCGGTTCGTCGACAGGAAGTATCATCGGCTGCTGGTGGAAACCGTCCAAATTGTTGTCCATATGTCGCTGTTCCTCTTCCTGCAGCGACAGGACGGCCAACTGGAGCGCTTTTTCGTCCTCGGCGGTCATCTCTCCGTGTCCCTTATTCGCGTTGTTCTTTTGTTGCATACGACTTGCCCGCCTCCGGCTACCTGTAGAGCAACACGATCGGTTGTTAAGCTTAATATTTATAAATATAACGATCATTGATCACATCTTATCGTTGCATTAACACCGCAAATAATTGTCAACAATAGTAAAATATATTAAGGAACGTGTGAACTGCTGAAATGTACTACTCAATGCATTGTTGTAACACTTATGGTGTTATAGTGACTCCCCTCCCCCTCCCCCCCCAAAAAAAAATAAATACATTTTGAATATATTTCAGGCATTTATACATTTTAACTACATAGATAGGTACTTATTAGTTATTAAGATTTAATTAGGTATTWATTTTTCTCCCTACAACAACATTTATCTGCAGTATTTAGAAAATATTACTATAAACTTTATAGTATAAAGTATAAAGTAATATTTTATATTTATGTTGTGATGAATATTACTGCTATAAATATATAATTGTAAATGTATAGACTATAGGTATTATGCAAATAGTAGATATCCATTATACTGTATCCTATATAAATGCTATATATTAAAATCCACATTTAAAATGTGATTTATACAAAATTGCAACAAAAAAAAAGTATTAAGTATTGTTATCGAAATTGTTAATTTATTTTATATACGTTTTAGTTGTCTAATATACCACTGTTATGCATCAAAATAGAAACGAAAAACTTCCCGACACTATTATCTCATTATCTTAATTTCTATTTATGTATAATTTGTATTTTGGTAAATGATTATGAGTCATATTTACTTGTTCGTTTACGTCGAGCACCACCTTCTAAGCAATCGACGTCAAATTTCCAAAACCCTCCTTTACCTGGTTCGTCTTTAGATCTCGGCACTTTCACGAAGAATTTGTTTAACGATAAATTGTGTCTGATGGAGTTCTGAAGAAAAAAATACCGTAAAATGTGAAAGGTAGTAGGTACCTGTTTTGTATTTGGTTTTGGTTAAATACAAAATACTATGCATTACCTTCCAACTAGGATCGGCATTTCGGTAGTACAAAAAATTTTCTCTGATCCAACCATAAATAGAACTTAAAGTAACTTTATTTCCTTTAGCTTTCATAGCCATACAAATCAACGTGGAGTATGAAAATGGCGGTTTTTTATCTCCATTATTTTTGTATTGTTCGGCACTTTCCAAACCTGAAACGAAAAATCAATAAATCAAAGTTACCGAAGTTACCAATATTCAATAGCTATTACCTAATACTTAATAYRTATACTTACTCATTTGGAAACGGATTTTGTGTGGAAGTTTTTTTGGGTTTTGATCTGCTGAACGTGTGGGTGAATTAGGCGAATCAGGAGGTGTAGGCAGAGATGGCACCGAAAGTATATTTGTCAAACTATGTAACCAATTTAGACTGGTCAGATCCGTGTCTTGTTCCGAGTTGACTGGTACTGGAAGCATGGAAATCGACCTCTTAATGTCCAACATGTTTTACTAAAAACAAAAAACAAACGAATACGTATTACTATTATTAATATCGTATTGTCTATATTTTCTATTTACACTTGTTTTTAGATCTGCGGAAGATTTAAAAAATCGTTAACTGCTCCCCAGGGGTGCGTATTTGTCTAGGGGGTGATCATCAAGTTCCCCCGAGATCGTTTCCGACCGATTAACAACCAACTTCCGGACACATGCGTGCAGGATATCGGGGCAGGTTCATTCTCGATTTTGTTCCCCCTTCAATACCGACAAAGGGGTTCGTTTACCTGAGTGTTGTGGGATTATTAATCACTTGACACACTCCGATAATGGTTTACGTATTATTATGCGTYGTAAAGGTGCCTGCAGTATTTCTGAAGGGGAGAAACGATTGTATTGTACCCAGAGCGTATTATTAGCTTTACGAAAATGATTTCTCTATGAATAGGAAGCGTCACGAGCCCTTTAACCGTTCTGATGTGGGAACTTATCAACCTGTACACAACTCACCATTGTACGCGTGTGTTTATTTTAAAAATCATTCTTGAACATTTATTACAAAATATGCAAAGAAAAATGTGTAATAAATAATTTAAAGCTATCTACAAAAACTTAAAAAATGCACATTTTTCGTTTTTCCAAATCAAAATACGAGCATAAAATATAATGATATTTATCAATGYACAACGTACTTATTTTTGATTAAATTTAAACTCGTGTAGTACCAATGTCGAAGCGAATCGTAGAACAATGTTTCGATATATTATATATAGGTATATTGTATGACCTTAACGTCCTCAACAGCTCTGTCTAATTGAATTATCAGTGCATGTGTATAAAAATGACCTTAACTTACTTCAAGCTTTGACCGTAATCTATTGGCCATCAATATATTCATTAAAATATTACTATATAATTTTTTTTTTGAAACATAACAATAATCTATAGTATGTATTACATCGTGTATTAATGGCACATWGGCACCTACATATATACATGTTTATACTAATTCGCCTATTACCGATGTAGAATATCGGTATTTGCATTATTATTGCGAACAATGTGGTTGAACGTTACAAAAAATGCAATGGATCAGAAAAGTGTTATTATACGAAAACTACGATACGCCATGTTGGGTAAATCTCAAATAGCGTAATCATTACAATAACAATAAATCCTCCYTCCACAGCTTGGTTAACGCAAAATTTGTTTGGCCATTAAGAAACGTCGGTCGCGTGATTCGTGAACGAGAAATATTATTAGTCATTTATAATCRTTTGCTGGAGCGGGTAAACATATTATAATATTATAATAGATCGCAGTTGCAGGATGGCACTGCGCCGCGCGTATCGATTTAACAAAAATCCCCCTTGATAAGTTTCGAAAAAGATGGACTGAAATATCAAACCTACATGTACACGCGTAGGTAGGCATGTCCCCTGCGCGTTTTATTATTCAGGTAGGTACGAATGCGTATATATATATATATATTTATACATAGGTCTTATATGTGTACGTGGGAAAACTGTCATCGAGTAAAACGCGTATTATTATTTTTATATTATTATATTGTGTACATGACGGCGAGGCCAACCGACCGACTCTTTCTCTCTCTCTCTCTCTCTCTCTCTCTCTTACATACACGTATACATCCACCTACGTGCGTATGAATTTTGGCTTGGGGGATAAATAATTCAGGGGTTTATACTGTCAGACTACCCTTGTCCGGTGCACGGAATGGATTGGGCGGCGGGCACGTGGGCGTGTCCGGACGAGAAAAAGGGCTTTCGCGCGCGCAAGCGCCCGGTTTTCGTCGATAATCTAATACTACCTACTGCTGTATTCGGCTAGCGTAGAGCTGCTTTTCCTGCACATACATACACTCACACACACACATATATACGTACATAATATATAACATGTATATATTTTTGTGTATTACAATGGACGAAAAACATTTTCACGTGCATAATACTCGACTCTCGAGTAGCTAAGCATCTATATATTATATCGTATGCATCCCGTTCGAATAAAAATATTGCATCAGTGTTGTATAAATAGATGTATAAAAAAAATACTAAAAAAATATAATTATTAATTAGTTTAGTATAAATAAAACTAAGCACCAAGAACCGTTAGTACCTACCTATACACAACTGTCGAACGCAAAATATGTCGCACCGTGAAAGTTTTTGGACCAGTTGTTTTTTAAACAAAAATCTATTAGTTGACTTGCATATAAAAATATATATTATATTGTTCTATAATGTTGTAACGACTGACGTTAGCTCTGATTGGTCACACACCTTACGTTTACACTTCTCAGACATAGCAAAACGGTACTATATTGTGTAAACTATAAGTTAATAATAAAACAAAAAAGTCGTATAGGTGCTTAATATTTTGTTTGCGGCATCGTTGTAAACGGACGAAAGTAAATACATCTAATATATATATATATATATGTTATCCAACTATCACGAATGTTATTAAAATAATTGTTCTATTGGTTATCTATTTAAATATCTCGTTTTATTCATACAACCATAAATTATACTGAAAAAAAGAATGATAGAGATAACACAAACCAAAAAATAATCTCGTTTCATAGACAAACATTATAAATTTTAATAAATAATATTATGTATAGGTAGGTAGAGTATGCTCAACTCTTCGTTCAAATTTAAATTTAAATTTAAATCATTGGAATTTTCAAAAAAAGTTATTT